ACAACCACCATTTTGGATGATGTGGAGAAAACAGGGAGGGCTGCTGAGTTGGACCTTGATATGCCAGCTTAGCACTTTTTTAAAGGTGCAGCCAGAGACAAGCTTCCTGCATGTAGGTTGCTCCAAGACTCCCATTCCATCTATTGGACTCTGTAAGCTACGAGTCCCACTCTGCCCCCAAATCTTCTAATTCCTCCATAAGCACAGGCTACAGCTGTACAGAGCAGAACAAGAGGTAAGTGATTACCCACCAAGCACTATAGGCCCTCGGTTCTGGGGCAAAATCACAGGCTCGTCCCCCATCTGCCTCAACTTCTCTAGCCAGCAAGCAAGCAAGTTTCCTACAGGCAGGCTGCTCCAGCATTCCCACCCCATCTGTAAACTTCATTTCCCACTCCACCCTCAAATGCTCCTGTACACTGCGACCTCAGAGAAACTCTGAAGCAAAGGACGTGACTGCACAGAGAAAACCAAGAGTAAATGATCAGCTACTCAGCTAGACACCCCACTCTCTATGCCCTTATTTCCAGGGCAAAATCCTGGGAATGTCCTCCACCTGACTCAGATTCTCTAGCCAGACAGCAGGTAAGCTTCCTACAAGTAGGCTGCTCCAACAACCCATCCCATGGATCAAACCTTGTAAGTTACAATTCACACCTTGCCCCCAAGCCCATCTATTCTCTGTGACCTCCGAGGATCTCTGAAGCTCAGGCTATGATTGCACAGAGCAGACCAAAAGAATGGACCAAGACAGCAGGCCAAGTGTGATCTTAGTGGCTCCCTGAGGCACAGAAAATGACAGTACAGAGCAGACAAAGAACAGCTTACTAAGATACAGAGAGCAACGGTAAGGATTAGACTAAGAAGCAGACACTGATAGCACCAATTGGAGGAAGAGATGGGTAGGCACCAATGCAAGAATTTTTTGAATAACCTACACAGCAATATGATAACACCAGAACCCATGGTCAAATAACAGACTTGATCATCCTAGACAAGAAGCAGAAGAAAACAATATTAAATGTGACTTTAGAATAATGATGGAAATCTTTAAAAAGAAAATTAAAAATTCACTTAAGAAATGGAGGAAGTAGCAAACAAAAAGTGGGAATAAATCCATAAATTTCTTAAAGAAACACGTTAAAACCAAGAAAAAACAGTCAAACCGGTGAAACAAACAGGACAAACAATTCAAGACTTGAAAACTGAAATAGAGGAAATAAAACACTAACTGAGAGGATTCTGGAAATGAAAGATCTGGGTAAATGAATGGGAACTACAAATGCAAGCATAACCAACAAAATAAAAGAGATGGAAGAGAGAACCTCGGGTGTTAAAGATACTATAGAGGAAATAGATTCATTCATCAAAAAAAAATGTAAGTTCATTCAAATTCTTAGCACAAAACATCCAGGAAATCTGGGACCACCTGAAAACACCAAGCCTAAGAATAATAGGGATAGAAGAAGGAGAAGAACTCCAGCTCAAAGGAACAAAAAATATATCCAACAATATCATAGAAGAAAACTTTCCTGATGTAAAGAAGGGTATCACTATAAAGGTACAAGAAGCTTACTGAAGACCAAGTAGACTGGATTAAAAAAAAAGTCCCCTTGTCATATAATAATCAAAACACAAAACATACATAATAAAGAAAGAATATTAAGAGCTGCAAAAAAATGTCTAGTAACATTTAAGGACTGACCTATCAGAATTATACCCGACTTCTCAGTGAAAAGCACGGAAGTCAGAAGTTCTGGACAGATGTGCTCCATACACTAAGAGCCCATGGATATCAGTACAGAAACTCTACCCAGCAAAGCTTTCAATCAACATCATCGGGCAAACAAGATATTCCATGACAAAACCAGATTTCAAAAATACCTGTCCACAAATCCAGCTCTCCAGAAAGTACTAGTAAGAAAATTCCAACCTGAGGAAGCTAGCTGCATCCACAAAAACATAACCAACTTATAATTTCTCACCAACAAACCCCAAAGATGGGAACACAAAAACACTACCACTGAAAAATGGCAGGAATTAAAAATCACAGGTCATTCTCTTAGTATCAATGGACTCAATTCACCTATAAAAAGACAGAGGCTAACAGAATGAATACAAAAACAAGATCTAATCTGCTGGATAAATGAAACACAGCTCAACTTCACAGGCAGACATTACCTCAGAGTAAGGAGCCGAAAAAAGATTTTCCAACCAAATGGACCTAAGAAACAAGCAGATGTAGTCATCCTAATATCTAACAAAATAGACGTGAAACTAAAATTATTCAGAGGAGATGGAGAACATTTTATCCTCATTATAGAAAAAAATCCATCAAGATGAAGTCTCAATTTTAAACATCTGTGCCCCAATACAAGAGCACCCACATATGTAAAAGTAACATTACTAAAGTGTAAATCAAACATCAAGCCACACTCACTAATACTAGGAGACTTTAACACCAAACTCTCCCCAATGGACAGGTCAACCAGACAGAAGCTTAAGAGAGAAATAAGAAAGCAAACAGACATCATGATTTAAATGGACTTAACAAATATTTATAGAACAATTTACCCAAACACAAAATAATATACCTTCTTCTCAGCACCTCTTGGAATCTTTTCTAAAATTGACCACATACTCAGTAACAAAGCAAACCTAAACAGGTAACAAAAATTCAAATAACCCCTTGTATCTCATCAGATCACCATTGTTTACATTAGAATTCATTGCAAGAAGCTTATAAACTCATGGAAATTGAATCACCCCTGGTTGAGGAAAAGAAAGAAAGAAAGAAAGAAAGAAAGAAAGAAAGGGAAAAGGAAGAAAGGAAGAAATTAACAACTTCCAAGAATTCGGCAAACATGAAGGCGCAGCATACCCAAACCTATGATACACTATGAAATCAGTGCTAAGAGGAAAGATCATATCACTAAGTGCCAATATAAAGAAAGTGGAGAAATCTCACACTAGTGTTTTATCAGCACATGTGATAGCTCTAGAACAAAAAAAAAAAAGCAGAATCACCCAGGAGTAGATGATAAAATAATTAAATTGAGGGCTGAAATCAATATAATAGAAACAAAGAAATTAATAAAAAGAATCTGTGAAAGAAAGAACTAGTTTTATGAGAAAATCCACAAGATTGACAAACCCTTAGGGAGTGAGCTCCAAAGAGCCAGTTCATGCACTGGGGATAAAATACAGGTTCCATTGCTAGTGATTCCAAAAACTGTCCATACCACACAACTCTCATTCACATTCAGAGAACCTAGTTCAGTCTTATTCTGGCTCCCTAGCTGTCAGCCCAGGGTCAGTAATTTCCCATTAGTCCAAGTCAGCTATTTCTGTGTGTAGCCCAACCATGGTCTTGACCCCTTTGCTCATAGTCTTGCTTCTCCCTCTCTCTGACTGGACTCCAGGAGTTTGGCTCAGTGCTTAACTGTGGATCTCTGCATCTGCTTCCAATGGTTACTGGATGAAGGTTCTATGATGGAAATTAAGGTAGTTATCAATCTGTTTACAGGAGAAGATCAGTTTAGGTACTCTCCCCATTATTGCTTAGATTCTTACCTGGATTAATGCATGGCATTTTGTGAGAGTTTCCCTAGTTCCTGTTGTGTTGCTAACACCACAGAGGCTCCCTCTATCCAGTTATCTCTTTCCTTGCTCCCTCTCTCTGTCCTTTACCCAACTCGGTCTTCCTGATCTCTCCTGTTCTCCTCTTTATTACTTCTCCCCATCCCCCCATGCTGCCATTTTACTTAGGAAATCTTGTCTAGTTCCCCTTCCTGGGGAAATCCATGTATGTATCTCTTAGAGATCTCCTTGTTTTCTGTCTTCTCTGGGGTTGTGGACTGTAGGCTAGTTTGCATTGCTTTATATCTAATATCCACTTATGAGTGAGTACTTACTGTGTTTGTCTTTCTGTGTCTGGCTTTCTTCACTCAGGATGGCTTTTTAGAGTTCCATCCATTTGCATGCAAAAGCCAACATGTCTTTTTTTGCTACTGAAAAGTACTTCATTGTGTAAATGTATCACATTTTATCTTTTCTTCAGTTGAGGGGCTTATTGGTTTCTTCCAGGTTCTGGCTATTACAAATAATGCTGCAAAGAACATAATCAAGAAAATGTTCTTATGTTATCATACAAGAGTACTTGTAGTTAGAGACCACCAGTTATACAAAAGGCAGTATTTTTCATGGACCATGCCTACATGAATTTAACCTCCATCAGAAGTATAAATTTTGGTAGGTTGACTTTCAAAATGTCAACTTATCTGGTGCATAATCTTGTGGATCCCATGAATTCTGTGTGAACCTATTCAATGAATTTATCTCCTATGGGTTGATATGGAGTAGTACCATACGAGTGATTGTTTTGGTACTTAGTGAAATCATGATGAGGGTAAGAACACCCCTCATCTGCCATATGGTGTCAAGGGTGGGAAAGAAATGTCTTCCCTCCTTAGCCCCTGTACCTAGGAGGGAGGGAGAGATGACTCTCAAGTCATAAGAACTGTAGAGCTAGTCCAGCCCCTCACCCGCTACAGCACTTGGGAGAATAGGCCCTTCACCTTGCCTGGCAGCACAATAGAGCAACCCTGTTGCAGGAATTGAGGATGATCCAGTCCCCAAATTCTGAGTGTAGGAGAGCTGTCCCCACTACTAATCTGTCATGTAAAGGCATGGGCAGGGGAGGGATACCCTCCTTATCCTTCATCCCTCACCGACAATGACAGACAAGAGAGTAGACCCTCCCCAATTAGAAGCTTCAATATTCAGGAGACCAATCCCTGCTGCTTGACTGGGCAGCATAATAGAAATGACCCAGTTGGTGGAAATGAGGGTGAACTGGCCCTGGTGATGTTTATGTGGGATAATTGGCCCCACCACACTCATCTGCCTTATGGTGGTAAAAGCAACGTAAAGATACCCTCCTCTACTTGTACCTACCACATGTGTTGGGCCAAGGATCAGACCCCCCCCCCCCTTACCAGCTATAGCAATTGGGAAAGTGGGTCCTTCACCTTGTCTGGGCAGCATAGTGGAGCTGACCATATTGACATGGGTGCTGGTGAACCAGCCCGAAAATCTTGACCTTGGACAATGTAATTCCTCCCCTCATCTGCCGTATGGTGATGTGGGCAGGGGAGAGATGTTTTCCCCTGCCTGTTTCCCCCTGCAGCAGGTGGTACATCTGACCCTGAGGTCCTAAGTGTAAGAGAGTTATGCCTGCCCCTCAGCAGCTGGAACACACTGAAGAGCAGACACCAGAAAAAGCAAATAGTCCAGGCTGGTTTTTCACTTCTGCTTCCCTTGATGGTTTCTATAATGACATCAATCATTGTGGGAGGTGTATTATCACCCTGATGACAGTAGTAAGTTGCAGCATCTTCAGACTGCAGGCTCCCTATCTTAAAAGAATACTGTGAGCCAGATCTACTTCCACTGAACCTTGGTGAGACCCCATCTGCCAAGCTGCTTGTACCATAGATCAGGAGCTTAGGATACTCCCCTGGTTTCTGCTGATACCATGCTAAACGCCCATAAATGTCCTGACTTGCCAAGCATGTGATGGTGACACTTTCTCCCAAAGATGCAGACAAGGTGGATGGAGACTGGGTCATCTGAATGTCACATCTGGCACCTGAGTTTGAAAAATTGGGGAAAAAATTGCACATATTTAATACTGTTAGATGAAGACTTTCCTTGAGACCAGTCAACAGTGACCACACTCAACTGAATAATTTTACCATGTTGTCTTCCTTACCTGTAAGCCAGAGCAACAGCAACCCCAGAAGCTGAGTGGGGATTGTCATGTCTGTGCTGTTACCTGTGTGGAGCTGACTCCAGCACTGGATGTGACCTGACTATGAAGAAGATCTCAAGGCAGTGAGTTGTAGTCTGGGCATATGCAAATCATCAATCACCAGATACCATGATAGGAGTGGCAAGAGAGTAATTCATTACTGGTTTGTGGTTGTCCTCCTACATCTCAGATCAGAGAGACCATATAGTTTTATTTGTAGGGAGTGTGCTGCTCTTTGGAAACCAAAGAACAGCACCAGTCTATGAGTTGCACCTTATTTTGATTTCTGTCAAGTTTCATGTAAAAATCCCTTGTTATGTTTCCCTCCATGGCAGTAGTTGTCAGGTATGGTGCAGTTATAGACAGTACATAAATGCTTACCATGTATTTTCATGGGTAGGTTATTGTAGATATTATTGAGGCCATGTACATTCTTTTGTTTTTTCATGTTTCCGAGGTTGAATTTTAATTATAAAATTTCTTGTTTGTCATTCCTCCTCCCAAATTCTCCCAAATACAGGTACCTGCTCCTTCTCAAATTCATGGCTTCTTTTGTCATTCATTGTTTTTGTATGTGGTTGTGTATTTCTTTACACATACCTATTCCTAAATATTACCTATTGTGTCCATATAATGTTGCTTGTATGTATGCTTTCAGCGCTGATCATTTGACACTTGACAAGCAATTATGTGCTCTTCCCTACTCTCAGGTTTACCAGTCTTCTCTAGTTCTTTCATAGAATTGAAGCCTCATGGGCTTTTCTCTATCCACTTTGCTGTAATTTTTAGTATCCTTCTTGTTTAGTTTAAAATTGAGTTATAATATTGGTGAAGCTTTGTAGGTATAGATTCTGTTGTTACCAGAAAAAAATAAATTTAAGAGCAAACTTCCTGATCTTCTAACTCTGTCAGTCTTTCTGCCCTCATTCCTAAAAGTTCCCTGAGCCTCTTGTAGATGTATCCTTTGCTGGAAGCTCCCCAACTCGCTATGCAACTTCTTGTTCAAATACTCCCCAGAAAAATAATACAATAATACTGGAAGGCCTAACTTGGAAGAAAGGGCAAGACCTTATATAACTAGCATATCTTTTCAGACAAACAATCTTTTTAAAATTTTTTTTAATTTTTTAAATTTTTTTTATTTTTGTTTTTGTTTTTGTCTTTCAGACAAGCATTCTTGTTTTGCTCTATTTGTCACAATTTGGCTACTCAGGAACACCTCCTGTGTCAGAAAAGGCCATAGGATTTTCCTCCTTCCATTTGTGTATATGACAACACTTCCTAAATTATCCTAGGTTTATATCCATGTTCAATTTTCTTGTGTGTCTTCATATAAAGGTACCAGACTTTAATCTCTTCTTACCATATTATTGTCTTTAAGGAATATGTGTTTCTCTCAGAAGTAGTCACTCATTGTCCTTAATGTACAACAGTTTCTGAACTTATGTATGTTCCAGACATCATCTCTCTTCCAGATAGTAAGAGGACATGCCTCGCAACTTGATTTTAAGGCAGAGGGATACAAACTGTGTGGTGGGAGAAGCGTGTAAACAAGGGAAGTTAGAAACTACATATAGGGTGTTATAGCCACAGTGCTGTCCAAGTTTAGTGTGGGATTCCATGGGGTATTGAATGGGAAGAGTATTACATGTGCAGAGAACCATTCTATAAGAAAAAGATATTGTTCAGGGTTAGAAGGACACCCATTCAGGGCCTGAAAATGATGGTGAACACAGGAGAGGTGTCAGAAACTAGAGGGAGGTGGGTGCAATCAGAAAATGATTGACCTGAAAATCAATGACAACAGTGACTCTGAAGCAAATGTTCATAGTGCTTGCATTCAAGAAGTCTGCAATAGAGATACAAAGTATGAACCCACCTTTAATCTTATCCATTAATATGAGTATATCTCATGTAATAACACCAAATATATGTATGTTTTGATTAAGCAATAAAATTGTGTTAATGATAATAGTCAATCAAAATAGCATTTTATTCCACAATTTCATAGAAGTGTGGCACAGAACACTTACAGTAGTTATATGGAGTGTAATTGTTTTCTAAAGACAGGCAGAAATGAATTCATTGTTACCCAGGTCCCATGGTCAGGAATGCTCTTGGTGGAGGACAGTGTCTGTGTGAACAGCATTTGCCCCACACTAGAGGGAGTCTACATAGAAACACAACATTTGTTTATTTGGGGGAATAAACACTTCAAAGGCAACACATCTGTTTTATGGTTGAATTGACAGTGTCTAGGTACTTTTCAGCTAGTTACTTCTACATTTACCTCCTTCATGAAGTTGCATTCTCAGAACAATCTACATTAATTATTGGAAACAAGACATGATACATGGTGATAAATGGATATAAGTGGGTCAGTTCCTGTCTGCCCTACAGCAATTCTTTTTCACACTCCTCTGGAAAACAATTTTCCAGCACACTACATTGTCTTAGAGCAAATAACAATAGAGTTTATCTAAAATCTAATTCTCGAACTTGTAGCTAAACCTCCATGGCATCCATAATATATTATCTTTAGATGTGTGTGACATTTTGGGTTTACTCATAGGAAAGGCACATTATCATTAAAAGGGCTTCACTAAGTCTAATGTTGTGGGGTAGATCTCTAAAGTTTGGTCTGTTATTGATTACTGAAGGGCAGTGGAAAAACCACACAATAAGGTGTTATTTGTCTGCAGAAAGAACAAACCCTTGGATCCTTTATACAACAGTGATAAGAGCCTTTGGGACTCACATCAGCTCACAGTCTGTTTCTTCATGGCACTGTATAGAGGAGAGTTGTGGTCTTACATTTTCATTTCTAAAAAGCTGTGGAGAGTTTCCCAAAGAGGAAGAAAAGGAAAAAAGAAGAAAACACTGGGAGAAAGAATTTATTTGCATAGATTCATAGCATTAGCAATATTCGAGACAGAAAAAAATGGACAAAAATGATTTCTCAATAGCACATGAAGTGACATACCTTGCTAAACTTTTCACTTCCAACTATAATCCTTTGAGATCAGGCTGGAGATACTGAAAGCCAGATTTAATATGTCTTATGTTTTCTCTCATAATAATTTATTAGAATCTTCCTATGAACTTTATACTCTCAACTTTGAAAGGTCTTTAGGATGTTTACAAGCACCCTCTATTAGGGTTACAAGGATATATAAAGCAACACTACATCAGCTCTGAACAGGACTGCAATGGGTGAATAGAAAAGGAAGCAGCAGTGATCCTGATACTGGTAACCAAGAAGGTCATTGTTCAGGGCCAGAGTCATTGCACCAGCTTTACTCTATCTGCCACAAAAGGAGTTGTCAGGATCTCCATTCTTCACAAAATAACTGTGAATGTGATATATGCCCTCACCACTCTCACAGAAATATGCAAGGACTAGAAGAAAACCCCAAACGCCAAGTGATATGGAAACTGAAAACTACTCTTGTCCCTAGTGAGTGGTTGTCTAAAGACTTGAAATGTTGAATTGGTAGACATTAATATTGCCTCCCCCTGCTGGAAAGATTGATAAAATGGAGACTGGGTTGCATCTTTGTCCTATTGGGGTGTGATAGAGGGGACAATAATTAATGCCAAATTATAATGTATTCAGCAAGCTTAATGAACCACACATCGAACTGTTTTTTCCTGTGAGTAAGCAGCAGCATTAAGAAGAATATTGTACAACATATCACACATAACTTATTTTTTATTATTATTTTTATTAGATTTTTTGTATGAAAGAATAATAAAGATAAATAATTAAATATATTTATTATATTAATATTTATATAAATATTAATATTTATATTTATATAAATATATATATATCTCCCTTTGAACCTGAAAGCCTGAACGCTTTACAACCTTTTTTGGAAAGTATCATAAATTAAAGCTCCACAGAATTACTTTTTAATCTTCACCATTATCATTAATTTTATTCTTTGACTATGGTTCTTTGATGAGTTACTTCTCCGACACATTAAACCTGTAATACTAAATGTTTATTTCCCTAATTCAGCTCATTTTATGTTTCTTGTTAAGCCTTTATTTTTTTAATTGAAAAATAAAAAAATTCCGCCTCCTCCCAGCCTCCCATTTCCCTCCCCTTCCTCCCACACCACTCCCCCTCCCCCCACTCCTTTCCCCATCCCTCTCCAGTCCGAAGAGCAATGGCACTGGGGTTTGATCCTACTTCATGTTCTGGCTTTGTGGGAACCTAGCCAGTTTGGATGCTCACGTTCCTAGACCTAGATGGAGGGGGGAGGACCTTGGACTTTTTATTAGATGTTTTAAAAAAATACAAATCCAAATTCCTACTCTCTCCCCTCCTCCCATTCCCTCCACACACCCTGCTACCCCACCTCCTCCAATCCTAAGAGAGGGCAAGGCACTCTGCCCTGTAGAAGATCCAAGGCCCTCCCCACGACAACCAGAATGAGCAAGGTATACATCCAAAGAGAATAAGATCCCAAGAGTGGTATTGCTGGATCTTGAGGTACATTGACTCCCAATTTTCTGAGAAACCGCCACACTGATTTACAAAGTGGTTGTACAAGTTTGCATTCCCACAAGCAATGGATGAGTGTTTCCCTTACTCCAAATTCTCTCCAACATAAACTATCATTAGTGTTTTGATCTTAGCCATTCTGACAGGTGTAAGATTGGTATCTCAGAGTTGCTTTGATTTGTATCTCCCTGATAACTAAGGAAGTTAGTTCCTTAAGTATCTTTTGGCCATTTGAAATTCTTCTGTTGAGAATTCTCTGTTAATTCAGTACCCCATTGTTTAATTGGGTAATTTAGAATTTTACTGTCTAATTTCTTGTATTCTTTATATATTTTGAACATCAGTCCTTTGTCTCATGTGCGGGTGGTGAAGATCTTCTCCCATTCAGTAGGCTGCCCTTTTGTCTTATTGACTGTGTTCTTTGCTTTACAGAAACTTCTCAGTTTCAGGAGGTCCCATTTATTCATTGTTGCTCTTATTGTCTGTGCTACTGAGGTTATATGTAGGAAGTAGTCTCCCA